GTGACAATGATAATGACAATGCGAACATTTTTTCATTATGAAATTAGATAAATTATTTAAAATGATTTTTTCCTTTTGTTAAGCATTCAAGCTTAACTTTTAAATCAAAGCATTTTTTCAAAATTTTCAATTTTTACTTTTGAAAGCTCTAAATCCGTTTTCAAACTTTCATTTTGATTTTCAAATTTTTTTTTGCTTTCAAAAGAAAATTGTTTTTAACTTTAAATTTTGAAATCATTTTCTTATATTTAGAGTTCATGTTCTCAAACTCCAAAAATAATTCATCGTATGCATCTTGTAACTCATTAAAAGAATATGAATTAGATTCAATAGAGTTAGAAGATACCTCGGGATTTCAAGAGTCATTACGTACACCACCTTTGTTGGTTCTTCTTTTTATTTCCATGAATTTCTTTGAGCTTATTCTAAACCTCATTGGCATTTGAACAAGAAGAAACTTGTTCATAGACATCATGACCAAATGCACAAAACAACATGTGCATGGCCTTAGCATTTTGTTGAGTTTTATTCCGTTCTTAGGCACTCCACTCCTTCGTCTTCTTCTTTGGAGAAGAGTAGTCATTCTCGATCATCTCACATGCTTCAAGATAATTGGATTGGATGAATTACTTCATTAATTTCTTCCAATGATGGTAGTTGGCTCCATTAAAGTATGGAGGCTTTTCGATCGGTTGGGAGTATTCCATGTGGAACTAGCCGGAGGTGAAAGTCATCTTCTTGGTTGTGTCGAAAATGGATAGAGCTTCTTCAAGGATAGTCTCAAGGTTGTTAAACCTTCTAATGAGTCAAACTCTGATACCAATTGTTGGGATTACGTGAAGCTCAAATGAACAATCGGATAATTTGCCAAGAGAGGGTGAATTGACTTTTTGAGTTTAGGGAGTAAGGAGTATAAAGAGATAGACAATTTGCACAAGGATTTATAGTTATTTGACTTCCAACCAAGTCTACATCCACTACCTTAGTTCTTCACTAAGGATTTTCTAACAAATTCACTAATTGGTTCTTTCTTTTTCCATGATAAAGAGAAAATATTTACAACTCTCTAGCTTTTCACAGGCTAAGCTAGAACCAATCCCCTTTTACAAAGGTTGAAAGATATAAACAAGAAAACCTCTCAAAGAAAAGGTGTTTATAAGATTTAAGCTCACAAAAATAAAACCTAAGGATATACAATTAAGCTCAAAACAAAAAATATTTACAAGAGAAAGAAAATAAAGATTAAAAAACTTTTATCTTGTGTATGAATACTTGGATAGGTGTTGATAACCTTCTTCAAGTGTCCTCAACTTGTTTTTATAAGTTGGAATGAGTTTGTGGCCGTTTCTAGCCGTTGGGGAATTTTGGAGCCGTCGGGGATTAATTTTCTGCAAAATAAAGCTGCCCAGGACAGGGAGTATCGATACTCCTTTAATGAGTATCGGTACTACCTTTGTAATATTTAAATAAACTAGTTGTTAAATACTGTTGGGATTGACCAATATCGGTACTATGCTTCATGGTATCGATACCACTGTGTAAAGTAGTATCGGTACCCCTTTGAGTATTAATACCTATTTTATTATGGAATTTGAGCAATTTGGAAAATAACTATAATATCGATACTACCTAGAGAGTATCGATATTTCTCTTTCCTTTGTGTCGGTACCACATGAACAATATCGATATTATTCATATAGTAACGATATTGTAAGAATAGTATCGATACTAAATACCCATGAAACTATTTTGTGCTCAAATTATAATTTAATGGACTTTGAATTATTTTTAAAATATTTGAAAAAATTTAATCAAGTCCCAAAACATTTTGCCTTAATTTGTTATATCAAAATATTATAAAACATGGTTCAATACAATGCCATATAATCAAGGAACCATTTGTGTATTTTTTTCTTATTACATAATTGATTTTTAATTATATTTAAATAAAACTTTTAACATTAATTTATTAAGTTTCTAATAATTTTTATTTTATTTAGGCTTAAACCCAACCTATGCATGTTTTTCCAGTTTAGTGTATAACGTTTATTTCGTTCCAATTTGGTGCATAACATTTCATTCTATTACTCAAAATAGTTCAAGTATTAACGGACTGTTAATTTCATCTGTTAAGTGACATGTGTCACAATTATGATAATTTTAAAAATTTATATAAAATTAAAAAATAAAAATTATATTTTTTAAAAAAGAAAACACATAAATTTCAAAATAACCCTAAAACTTTGAAAACCTTCATTTCAACCCCTAAACCCATGCCAACCATCACCCTTTTCCGTCAACAAAGCTCTACCCGACCTTACCTCCCCTCGGCGACCAAAACCCATATGAAATCATAACTGATCAACGGCCGATCAATGACTAATCGATGTTTTATACCCCGCGAAACCTAGGATGAAAATCGTAATCCTAAGCTATTTCGAAAGCCAATCAACGACAACTACAACAACTCATAACTAGGATGATGATAAGGACTACGTCTGCATCGGTGGGCACTGCCGGAAAAGGCGGAGGTGGGGGTTAGTGTTAGGATTTAGTGATTTAGGATTTTGATTTTTTTTGTAATTTAAAAAAAAGGTTTTTTTATAAATATAATAATATTTTTAATATTTTCTAAAAAATTCAAAATTACGAGATTTTGACATGAGTCACTTAACGGAGAGAACTAACGGTCCGTCAAAGCTTGACCCATTTTGAGTAACAGAATGAAACGTTAGACACCAAACTGGAACGAAATAAACTTTAGTTATTAAAATGGAAAAAGGACATAAATTGGACATCTTTTGTATATTTAACCCTTTTATTTATTATGATGTAACGTACTATAATTCATCGATATTCAATATTGTGGATACATAAATAGAATCACTATTTTAAAAACTATCCATACAAAATAATGTTGTAATTAATGTTATATCTTACTACTCCTATTATAAAATTAATTAAATATTTCATGTAGCAAACCCTTCATAAAAGTCGACATGGATCTAGGGGTGTTCATTCGGTTAAAACGGTGGCCGATCGAACCGAAATACCATTAATCGAATTAATCGAATTTTTTTCTTTAACCGTTAATCGAACCAAACTTTTTTTGAAAGTATTAACCGAACCGAATAAATTTTGATTAATTCGGTTAATTTTTGAATTAACCGAAATTTTTTAGAATTTTAGAATTTAATATTTTTTAATTAAAAAACAATTTACAATTAATTTAAATAATATATAATTAATTTGATTCAAATATTTTGTATTTAGTATTGAGATTATTTTAATTAATTAATATTGATTTGAGTTTTAAATAAGTTTTAAATGGATTAAGCCGACTATATCTCTTAATATAATTATATTTAAAGTTTAATTCGGTTAATTAATCGATTTCGAATTGAATTAATCGTTCCCTGACTGAACTAATTCGGTGACCGACTGAATTAACCGAACTAATTCGGTGGCCGACTGAATTAACCGAATTAATTCGATGACCGACTGAATTAATCAAACTAATTCAATTCGATCAATTAATTCAGTTAAAATCGAATTTTAAACACCTCTACCTACCAATTCTTTTCTTTAACATGTATGAAAGCTTGCATCACATTTCTTATATTGCGGCTATAATCATGTGTGCTTCAGCTACCCTATAAGTTTCTAATATTTTTTTTATCAAAATATAAGTAACTAATAATGATATAGAGACATACCTGCCGTGTGTATAATATCGGTTGATCTATGTATACCATCAAATATAAATTAATATTCATTATTTATTTTAATTTATTTAAAGTATAATTTTTAAATTTAACATCTTAAAACAAATCTTTTAGCTCCGTCTTTGATTAATAATGGTGATTATTTTTTTATTTTTTTTAAATTTTTATATAATTCAAATACTTTTTATATTTTTTATCGATAATTTTTATCCTTAAAATTTTATAAATGAGTCTTTTACTATTAATTGAGTAAAGTACACAAATAGTCTTTCAATTATAGTACATTTTTTGTTAAGTAATTCGACTATTACAAAATAATCTAATGACTATAGAGAATTATTTTGTTGAGTCCCACTACTATTAAAAGTTATAAAATAGTCACTCAATTATTTATATGTTCTAAACTCGTCATTTTTCGTTTAAAAATTGGCAACCGTCTGAGCTGGACTTTAACATGTTGATTGAGATATGATAAAATCTGATCTCAGAATCGTTTGAGCTTATGGATCAACTCTCCGTTTACATTATGCCGTCGAGTTAATGCTTAAAACATTATGTCGTCGAGCGAATGCTTGAAAGAAATATCGGTGTCAACATACACCATTTAAATATGATTTTTATCATATCCCAGTAACATGTTAACGTCCAGCTCAGATGATCGTTAATGTTTTAATGAAAAAGATGAGTTTGAAACATATAAATAGTCGGATGAATATTTTGTAACTTTTAATAGTTGAAGAACTCAACAAAATAACATCAAATAGTTAAGAGACAATTTTATAACTTTTAATAGTTGAAGGACTCAACAAAACAGTATCTTATAATTGGAGATAATTTATATATTTTTACGGTATAAAATTTTACGTTGGTCAATAATACTAATGTTTCATTGCCATTCAGACGGAAGAAACTGCATTGAGTCTTGGAAGATAAGCATGTGGCATAGGTCGTCATGATTACGTAATGTACAAAACAAATAAAAGCACATTTGAAATAGAATCCAAGTTTTTCACACCAATAAAAAAAACCTCACAGAAGCTTCTAAATTTGAACGATGTTATGTTCATACTTTGAACAAAACAAAAGAAAGCAGAAAAAAAAAAAGAAAAAAAAAAAAACCCTCAAATTATATTTTCTCAAACAATGGGAGACTAGTCCAAGTCAAGACGTACCAAGTTCGCAACCGCGTTCGGCGTTTACTTAAGACAAAAACGGAATGTAATTACTCCCATCTGCTACATTCTATATATATGCATCATCACCTACCACCAAAGCTTCCAAAACAAGGCCATGGCCGAGCACGAACAAGTCAAACCCTTAGCCCCAGCCACCTTCCAAGCTCGAAGCGATGACCGCGAAGTGTTGTCTACGCAATCGAATCGTAGAAAGAAAATATATATCCAGTGTTGCGGTTGCATGGCCGCGCTTTCATTAATTCTAGCGGTCGTAATTATAGTCCTGTTCTTCACAGTTTTTCATATACATGATCCCAGGATCAAGATGAATTCGGTAACAATCCAGCGGCTGGAGCTTGTAAACGGGACACTCAGGCCTGATGTGAACGTTACACTTTTAGCCGACGTTTCATTCAAGAACCGGAATGTAGCGACCTTCAAGTTCAACAACAGCACCACGTTGGTGTATTACGGAGGGACGGTGATCGGCGAGGCGGTTCATCTCCGAGGCGAGGCCAAGGCTCGGCGTACACTGAGGAGGAATGTGACGGTGGAATTGGTTCCTGAGAAAATCATGGGTGTTCCGAGCTTTATGAGTGATGTTAATTCAGGGGCGTTGAACATAAGCAGCTATAGTTGGATTTCGGGTCGGGTCAAAATCATGAAAATTATAAAGAAAAACGTTGTGGTTCGATTAAATTGTACCATGACTTTTAGAATCTCCAGAGGAGAGTTTGTTGGAGAGACTTGCAGGCCCGAACTTGATTTCTAAACTAGCTTTTTTTTTTTACAACTATCTATTTAATATTTTATTTGTTTTTAAATTTTTCTTTAATCATCTAATTATTTTTGTTGGAGAACAATATCTCTTTAACAACTGAGATGACACAATCGATTTTTTTTGTTGCTCTCCCGGTTTTAAGACTTGGCTTTAACTAATCCAGATCGACCTACGTTGCACACCTGACTTTGGTTAGTGAGACTCCCAACATAAATTTTTTGCATATACAATGATTCAAACTCAAGACCTTGTTTAAACATTATCAAATTACTTATCACTTGAACAAGCTATGTCGGTGACACAATCAATTTTTTCTCATTTGATTTTCTTTCATTATTATTGAGATCTTTAAAAATTGAAGCTGCCTAGTCTCTCTCACAAAGTATGATTGACCAAATATTTATTTTTTATTACAGTTTAAGCACGAGTGCTTATCCTATAGAATTTATTTATTTACATTCCAAACTAAATTTATGTTGTTTAAATGCAAAAATTACTAAAGCTGGAAATTATTGTGTGAACATCACACAATAAAACATGCAATAAGTCAAAGGAACCAATTCATTTTTCAGAAATTAAAAAATAAAATCCAAAACCGTACCATTTCTAGGATCCAAACAAACAACTTTTTGCTTTTGCTCCTGTTAGAAATTTGATGAAACAACTTATTCTCTTATAGTTAGAAAATATTCATTTATCCATTTACAGTAAAAATTCTTTAAATTAATACTCGATAAATTAATAAACTCTCTAAAATAATAAATTTGTCCTGTCCTGACTTAGGCCAATGTAAAAAATTGAAAAACTCGATAAAATAATAAGATAATAATTTTTCGTAAGATCTCTTTATAATTTTCGGTCCCAAGAAAATCATAAATTAATAATTCATAGAAACTGAAAAAAATATATTACACTCTATTGAAATATGATTCAATAGTTGTCTGTTTTCTTTTAAAGTTCAAATCTATTTGGAGCTCATTATTAATTTAACTCATCTCTTGCAACATAATTCTAAGAGTCATAGACTAATTTGTCTTTTTGTTTGGTATGTATAGTATAATTACTTAAAAACTCTCTAAATTAATAAATTTCTCTGGTCTTGACATTATTAATTTATAGAGTTTTAACTGTATAATGTATTTATCATTCATTAGTATTTACTTATTATTTTATATATTTTTATTATCTTCAATTATTTTTATTAAATATTTTTTACTAAAAATAATAAAATTATAGTTAGTTATAAAGTTATTTTATCTATTGTTAAATTAAATTATAAAATGTAATATTTTTGTATCTATAATCCAAATCTTTGTTTTTTACTCAAATATCATTCATTAGAAAATTATTTATCATTTTAACACTCATCTAAGATTATTTCTCGAACTAGTATCCTTCTTGCCCATATCTTGTACTTGTATAATTATATGTAGAGGTGAGCGTTCGATTAAGTCGAATCGAGTCTAAAAATTTTAAGTTATTCGAGTTGCATGACAAGTCCTATTTTATAACTCGAAGTTGACTTAAAATTTTTTTCGAGTTGAGTGAAGATGAATTTTCGAGTTTTTGTTTAAATTTAATTGAATTTTTTAATAATATTATGATATTATATGATTCCAATTTAAATTATTTTTTCTAACCATATACAATGCATATATAATTCTTCATATTTTTTTCATATGTAATATACATATATCATACAGAGTCGAGAAACTCAATTTAATCTTGAAAATCAATCTACTAATTACCAAAAATTTTGAATTATTCAAGTTGTATTTTACAACTCGATTTGAACTTGAAATTTTTTCAAGTCGAATTTATGAAATTACAGACTCTCTCAATCATTTTCTTGGTGTTGAAGTTGTGTCCATTCAGCCTATCTTATTTCTACCTTAGGAACCATACATTCAGATGTTCTAGCTCAGTTTCACATGCACCATGTCAAGTATATTTTTATACTTATGTCTTCCTTTGATAAACTACCACCGTCTGATCTGTCTACCGCAATAAATACTTTCAGTTATCGTTAATTCCTTGGATTTATTATCTTGAGCTCACCCATTTATTGATTTTGTTGTTAATCATTTGTCAAAATACAGGCATTATTTTGTATCTATCCACTGGATAGTAACTAAGTGTGTTATTCAATACCTCGAAGGTACCTTGTTCGTCATATTTCTTCAAAAACTTAACTTGTAGACACTTTTACAAAATTTTGATATAAATAATTTTTTTATTTTCGGTTAAAGATCGGTATCTCTGACGGATCTTTCATCACGTGGGGTGTATTATAAATAAATAATATTATTTTTTAATTAATTATTAATTCTTGTATATCTTATCTAATTGAGATTATGACATATATAATTGGGTCTCTATGTAATTATGTATAATAAAACTCTACTCTATCCAATGTTTATTTTATATACTCATATATTACTACAAAGTTATTCATCAATGCACAAATATTTTACATAACGTATAGACCAAGCTGGCCTACCAACGGCGACTGAAAAGCTGAAAAAACGATGACCATTAGCTTTCCAACCACGACAAACACTATTCGCATACAAAAACATATGACAACGGGATCATCGATCTCCACCATTCCCTGTTTTGTTTTGATATCAACAGATTGAAAACTGTATAATACAGTAAGTTTATCTTGAATTTCTCCCCGTCGACACATTTTACGGTTACCATTTTCGTCCTCTTCTTATGAATCCTTGAACCAATGGAATAGTAACCTAACAAATTCTTGAAAGAAGGGAAAAATTTGGAATCTTGGGATTTTACAACGTTGTGGAATCTAGACCACATGAGATGAAATTACAACCCTTTTTTTTAATCCCAACAAAATTGTCCTTGTAAAAGAGGTTTAAGAGTTACGTAAAAAGTTTTCTCCAAGGAAAAAAAACTATAGCTTAACTATCCTATATAGGTTAGATGCATATAGTCTATAAATATATAGTTTCCCATTACCTTTTAAAATACTTCTTACGGACAGAAACATAAGGACGAAAAAAATGTTTCTTTCCCGGAAATCTTTGTCAATATCAGTCCATGATGAACATCAAGAACATCCAGAGTTATCCAAAACCCAAGGTGGCCATCTGTGCACATCGCTAACGGTGTGGAGAAAATCACTTATAGTTAGCTGTAAAGGGTTTACTGTGATTGATTCAGATGGAAATCTGGTTTACCCAGTCGATAGTTACACGGGAAAACGCCCCAAGGAAATTCTTCTTATAGACGGTTTGGGGAAACCCATCTTCACAATGTGAAGTCACAAGGTAACGTTTGATTTTAAAGTAAAAAGTCATCTAATTAACGTTCGACTAAAAAATCACTTTAGTCTTTATTCTTTTTGAAGCATACTAGCCCCTAATGTTTCGTTTTAAGACAAAAGAGCATTTATTTTGGATCGTTGTCTATTTGTTAATTAACAATTTCTATCCACTCAAAATGAAATGTTGATAGTCAAAATACTATGAGAAATGGGTGATTAAAGTAATATTTGTTCACAATATTTCTTAAATATTGACAACATGAACTTCCTAATGCATCTATTTGAATCCAGGATGTCAAGGGAGAACAACACTTTCTTTAATCATCGAGACCATTCATGGATTCTAGTTAAAATAATTATTTGGTCAAACGTTAAGTGTATTTCTTACCCTTATGCCATATATATTTCATCTTGTATAACTTTCTCACGATCTCATGTATAAATGGTAGTTATCTTGGAGCTTGATAATGATATATATATGTTCTTTTTATGGACAGAATCTTAGACCGGTAGATGCTTGGCTTGTCTACGGAGGGGAAGTAGGTGAATTGTGTACATCAGAACAACCGATTTTCTACGTAAAGAAGAGCATTAACATTTTACATGCCAAACCTAATGTGCTAGCATATGTTTATCGCCGGTCAACGGATAAACGACATGCATATACGATTGAAGGATTGTATTCGCAGAGATCATGTAAAGTGGTGGATTAGAGAAGAGATGGGTGGCGGAGATCAAGCCAAAGGATGCGATGGATGGATGCATTTCTCTCGGCCTAGAGGTTTTTGTGTTGATTGTGCAGGCTGGACTTGATCCTGGGTTCGCAATGGCTCTGGTTCTTCTGCTGGATCAAATGTTTTCATAGTATTGAAAATTGGAGGAACTGCTCTTGCGTCTTTTTATTTGATCATATGTCAAAAGCAACTCTGTCTCGTGTTTCTGTAAAGTGAAACCTAAACCTCGAGCCAAGAAAAGATGGTAGAATGATGTCGGATCAAAATGTTAAAATATTCTTTCTTCCAGAGATGTACTCAGCAGCTTGTTTGTTTTTGTTTTCCTCTCGAACACTTTTGTTGCACTAGGTGCCACACGGTGATCGAAGATTGTCGACCACTATGGCTTTCTCGTTCGAGATTTCTCTAATAATTCTAAAAATAATTCTTTTAAAAATTAATTATACCAAAAATTAATTATATGATCGAATCGCAAGAGCCTTATCAATTTTGCAGGGGCAGCAGCAATGCCTGGTGCACCAGAAACATAAGGTCGATACTTATAAATCAGTGCAATTCAGATGAAACCGACCAAATGCAGGATTCTAAATTGTAGTTCGGGTGGATGTGACAAGAAATGGGTATTCGGCTCGCTTGTTCCGGATTGTATTCTGGTTCTGTTCGACCCATTTGCAGCTTACTACCAATATCCACGGCATTTACCAGAGGATCACAATGGTATAGTTTTAGAGGAATAGAAAGGATAAAAGAAGGAGAAATTAGAATTGAGAGATTACATAAAGGAGATACTTCATTCATTACTTGAGAAATCAATTCTTCTTAGCCATTGTTTTATTTAGTTACAGGGCTATAATTGTAATTTAAAATGTGCCAGCTGTCGGTACTCTATAACAGCTATAACTAACTCATATTCTCTTCTCTCCTCAAGTCCTGGGCCATCGAACTTGGGCTCATTCCTCTCTTGTTGGACTGTAACTCGGACGTCCCACTCCTTGACTTCAACGTTTAATCTTCTCCACATCAGAAGGTAAATATCTCATTCCCTCTTCTTTTACTTTAATCCCTAAATCCTCAATTTCAAATTCCTCTCTTCCCTCGATCCCCAATTCTCCCTCATCAAACCCTAACCCTTGACCTCCTCTTCCCTCAATTCCTTCGCCATTTCCACGCTCTTCTCCTCCTACTGTAACAACACCCACCGCTGGAATCGATCCTTGACCCCAAGGATCAAAGCCTGGAAATTGCCCTCGCAAAACAGTATAATCTTCCCATGTATCATTGGTCTCATCCAGGTTCGTCCATCGCACCAACAAATGTGTAACAGGTTTGTTTTGTCTGTTGATAATCCTTCTGCCCATCACCTTATAAGGTTCTATTCTCATATGTCCTTCTTCGTCCATTGCAGGAGGAGTCGTTGAAGAGACTGCTGAGGGCCCGATATGTTTTTTTAACAGACTTACATGAAAGACTGGATGTAGATGTGATGATTCAGGTAAGTCTAATCTATATGCAACTTCCCCAAATTTTTGAATAATTTTATGAGGGCCATAAAATTTCGCTGCTAGCTTTAAATTTTTTCGCAGGGCCAAGGAAGTCTGTCGATATGGTTGCAGCTTCAGGTAAACTGTATCTCCGACTGTAAAAACCCTTTCTGTTCTATTCTTATCTGCTTTTTGTTTCATCCTGTTGCTAGCATTCTCCAATTGTAGCTTTACTAACTTTCTAATGTCCTCTCTGCTTTTCATTAAATCATGAACTGATTGTACGTGAGAGTCTGCCTGCCAAACCATAGTAGGAGGCTTGTAACCATACAATGCCTGAAAAGGTGTAATTTTCAGGGCAGTGTGGTAGGTAGTATTATACCACCACTCTGCATGAGGCAACCACTTAACCCATTGCTTAGGTTGAAAAAAGCATAAACCCCTTAAATACTGCTCCAAACATTGATTTACCCTTTCTGTCTGACCATCAATCTCAGGATGGTAAGTTGTACTGAACAGTGTAGTAGTTCCAATATGCTTCATTAGTTCTCTCCAAAAGAGACTAGTGAATGTTTTATCTCTATTTGAAATAGCTATTTTGGGTTGACCATGTAACTTGTAAACATTATCAAGATAGAGTTTAGCCACCTCCACCATAGTATAGGGATGAGACAATGCCATAAAATGACTGCATTTTGTGAACTTATCCACCACAACCAATATACAATTCTTTCTCAAAGAAGTGGTAAGCCATCAATAAATCCATAGTAACCACCTCCCAAGCTTGTTGAGGAATAGGAAGGGGCTGTAGCAGTCCTGGTTTAGATATATGCTCAACCTTAGTTTGCTGACAAACTGTACAACATCTTATATAGTTGACCACCATTGCTTTCAGCCTAAGCCAATAAAAATAGGATCTAATCCTATGATATGTAGCTTGAGTCCCAGAATTCCCTCCATGAGGAGAATCATGTAGAACTTGAAGAATTTGGAGTCTAAGAGACCCATTAGATCCAATGTAAACTCTGCCTCTGAATCTTAGTATCCCTTTTGAATATGTCCAATTAGGAGCAGGAGTAGGTGTTACAGATAATAATCTGATCCAATCAGCAGCCAATCTGTCATCCTTATAGCTAGTTTCAACTTCATGTACCCAGCTAGGAATAAGCAAGGTAGTTCCCATGGACAAACAGTTACCAGTATCTTCCCATTGCCTTGACAAAGCATCTGCTACAGTATTAGATTTACCCCTTCTATATTGAATAGTATAGTCCAACCCCAATAATTTAGTCAACCCTTTCTTTTGAATTGTAGTGGTCATTTCTGCTCCAATAAGTACTTTAGTGGCTCATGATCAGTTTTAATAATAAAAGGCTTACTCTCTAAGTAATGCCTCCACTTAGAAACTGCTAGTAAAATAGCAAGATACTCCCTTTCATAGATAGAGAGGGCAGCATGTCTAGGACTTAAGGCCTTACTGAGATAAGCAATAGGTATGCCCTCTTGAGATAACACAACACCAATTCCTCCTGAGCTAGCATCTGTTTCCAAACAGAAACTTTTGCTGAAATCAGGTAAAGCCAAAACTGGAGCCACACACATAGCCTGTTTTAACAATTCAAAAGCAGTCAAAGCTGCAGTATTCCACTGAAAATTATCCTTAGTAAGCATTTGAGTTAAAGGCTTACTAATGGATCCATAGTCTTTAATAAACCTCCTGTAATAACCAGTTAAACCCAAAAATCCACGCAAAGACTTCAAATATTTAGGAAGAGGCCAATTCTTCATAGCTTCTATCTTACTAGGATCTGTTGCTACTCCTGCTGCAGAAATAATATGTCCCAAGTACTCCACTTGGGTCTGTCCAAAAAAACACTTGGACATTTTTGCAAATAGTTGATTGACCTTCAAAATCTCCAAACTAATTGCAAATGAGTAATATGTTCTGCCATAGAATTACTGTAGACCAATATATCATCAAAGAACTCCAAAGCAAATTTTCTAAGAAATGATTAAACAAATCATTCATTAGTGCTTGAAATATAGCAGGAGCATTAGTAAGACCAAATGGCATTACCTTGAATTCATAATAACCTTGATGAGTTCTGAATGTTGTTTTGTAAATATCCTCCTCTTTAATTATGATTTGCCAATAGCCTGACCTTAAGTCAATCTTGGAAAAATAAACTGCTCCATATAATTCATCTAATAAGTCCTCCACCACAGGAATAGGAAACTTGTCCTTTACTGTCATATTGTTTAATTGTCTGTAATCAACACAAAACCTCCAAGTCCCATCTTTTTTCTTTATCAATAGGCATGGAGAAGCAAGGGACTCTTGCTAGGTTGAATAATGGAAGATGATAACATTGTAGAAATCTGTCTTTCAACTTCAGTCTTCTGGGTATGAGGAAATCTGTAGGGCCTCAAATTAACATGACTATAACCAGGTTTGAGGGAAATAGCATGATCATGAGTCCTTGTAGGAGGTAATCCTTTAGGTTCATCAAAAACAGAGCTATACCTCTTTAAAAGAGGTTTGAGAGCTACAGGAACTGACTTAGGAGTTTCAGTCATACTCAATAAAACCACATGCCCCAAAATAGCTGCCTCAGATGTTGTCATTTTTAATAAAATAGCACCCGAAATCTGCTGTAATAGCAGTGAAGGTTGTTGTCCCTGTATAACAATATTTTCACCTTGATACTAAAAAAACTCATTGTCAGTTGATTGAAGTCCATCAAAATTGGACTATATAACCTCATCCAATCAACCCCTAAAACCATATCACTGCCTCCCAATTTAAGGAGTCTAAAGTCATGTATAAAAGAGTGCCCTTGCATCTGCCACTCCACCTTGTTGCATCTAGCTGAACTATAGAGTTGTTGGCCATTAGCTACTGTAATAGCTAAAGGATAGGGAGTTAGAACCTGAAATCCAGCATCAGCCCATTCTGGTGTCAAAAAGCTATGTGTACTTCCACTGTCAATCAAAATATTCAAAGGTCTGCCTTGTATTGTTCCTTGAATCCTCAAAGTATTATGACTAATACCCCCGTAATAGCATTCATAGATATCTATAAGTTTCCTCTTCTTGTAATAACTGCTGCTCTGAATCAATAAGAACTGATTCTGTAGGAATAGGATTGTCCTCTTCAATCATCATATTGAGGTTTTGTTTTACATTGATGGCCTGGCTGAAATTTATCTCCACACTTAAAACAAAGGTTGTTTTGTCTTATGTACTCAATGAGAGTCTGTTTAGTATTGGAATTGGGGAGGATTTAATAGGCAGTGGAACTGAATTTGGCCTGGAAGTATGAATGGGGTTTGGGTAGGGTGGGCTTTTAAAGGAAGGTCTCAACCATCTACTTTCAAACTCCACAGACAACTCATAGAGCTTAGCTTGCTTGCATGCCTCAGATAAATTTTTAGGATCTAAAGCTTTTACTCTATGTTTGATGTCATCTCTAAGCCCACTTATAAAAAGTGACACAAAAAATCCTCACTCAAGGTAGGATTTTGTAATAACATGTGTGGTTGTAACTCCTCAAACCTTTCTTGATAGTCTTCAACAGATCCTTTCTGAGTAAGCTTAGTAAATTCCTCCACAATGTCAGAAAAAGACCTATCACTGAATCTATGGCACAAATCAGCTTCAAACTCATGCCAAGTTACATGATGCTTCTGCATAATATAGCCATCAAACCAAATTTCTACTTTTCCTGTAAGATACATAGTAGCCACTTCTACCCTTTGATCTACAGAAACATTGCATAAAGAAAATACTTGAGACACTTCTGCAGCCACCCCCTAGGATTAACCCCCTCAAAAAATGGTAACTCTATTTTGGGTCTATGCCAAATAGTCCCTGAACTGTTAAATGAACCCCCTGCTCCCCTGTTTTCAGTTTCCAATCCCAGCATAACAGGTCTATTATTACTGTTTTCACTCATTTGATTCTCAGGTCTAGGACTATTCTTAGGGGCTAAACAAGCATCAGGTTTGTCCCTCAAAATCCCAGGTTCATCAGTTTTATAAAGAATCTGGATTTATCCTTAACTACAGTCACCAAAACAAGATTTTTCTCCCCATCTTTAGAACTATTAGGAGTGTATACCTGATCCCCTGCAGATTGCTCTTGTTCACTATTTCTGCCAGTTAAGATCTTCAGGATATCTTCCACATAACCTTGATTCGTGGACATCCTTGCCTCCAATGCAGTGATCCTGTTTTCCTGATTCTCCCACCATTTAGGTGGATTAGTCTCATTTTGACCTTGTTTCACCAAAGCAGCAAGGTCTGCAATCTGTTTTTGAATCTCAGCTAAATCTGATTCTGCCATCGATTGGTTCTTCGTTGGCATGCCCTCAAAAAAAAAATTTGCCAGAATCGTAGCTCTGATTACCAATTGTTATAGTTTTAGAGGAATAGAAAGGATAAAAGAAGGAGAAATTAGAATTGAGAGATTACAGAAATGAGATATTTCATTCATTACTTGAGAAATCAATTCTTCTTAGCCATTGTTTTATTTAGTTACAGGGCTATAATTGTAATTTAAAATGTGCCAGCTGTCAGTACTCTATAACAGCTATAACTAACTCATATTCTCTTCTCTCCTCATGTCCTGGGCCACCGAACATGGGCTCATTCCTCTCTTGCTGGACTGCAACTCGGACGTCCCACTCCTTCTTGACTTCAACGTTTAATCTGCTCCACATCAGAAGGTAAATATCTCATTCCCTCTTCTTTTACTTTAATCCCTAAATCCCCAATTTCAAATCCCTCTCTTCCTTCGATCCCCAATTCTCCCTCATCAAACCCTAACCCTTGACCTCCTCTTCCCTCAATTCCTTCGTCATTTCCACGCTCTTCTCCTCCTACTGTAACACACAACAAGTATTCAGTGTTCATAGACCAAGAAGAGGTGAGAGAGATGAAGGTAAACATAGTAGAAAGGCCAGTGAAGGTTCCTGTAAGGGGATGGAGGATATAAGAAGGTTCATATTGTTTATGAACTAACGCCTGATTTGGTGTTGGGGGGTTCATCCGAATCTCCTTCGCAAGTAACTCCGAAATAAAAAGATCTTTTAAAGGATATCCTCCATCGTAATAATCTATTGTCAAACAATTATACTTGTTTTATCCATCATTCTATGTGTAATAATTATGTCCCTAAACCTGAATTATTATAAAACTCACAGTCAGACCTAAAGGAAGAGATTTCATCTTCTATCTTATTTTCACTTAATATTTTTAAGGATTAAATTATATTAACTGTTTGTGACACATCATAAATCATAAATCATCAATTACAACTCTTCACTAAAGTTAAGAAAGGAAACTGCCTATAACCATTATTAACTCAAAATCCAAATATTATAATCAATATGACCCAAATTTCAAGACGCATTTTCCATGACAATGAACAACTTGCTTGAACAGAATAATTGGTTCTTCCATATTGTTTTCTCTTTGTTTCATGACACATGAGAGTTTTCTAACATAAATTGATCCCATGTTGTAAATTATATGAAGCAATGTCACTATCAATTTTGGAATATACGTAAGTATGCTTAGCTAAATCCATCAGCATAATGGTTTCGTCCGCATATATGATCTTTCTTCGGGGGAGAATCTTTCCAGAAACTACCAAAGGAATGCCGCTCAATCCAACGTTTTCAAATTGAGGAATCGGCAAAACCACAGAGCGATCACACGCTCAGAACCAACAAATGAAATAATTAATATTTTAGTCCTTGTACTATAATTAAATTATTAGCTTGGTGTTTCTATCAGATTAGTTCTTATACAATCATTCTGTCCCAACGCTGTCCCGTTATAATTTTTAATTAAAATTTAATATATGACCTAATTAGTGGCTCGTGCAATTAAATTAAAATATGAAAAAAAGTTAGAATTTATGTTTTGTTTTTATATTTTTTAAATTATACTTAATTTTTTAAAAAATAAAGTTTTATAAAATTCTTAAAATTTTAAAATAGTTGAGTTATTAAAATAAATTTTTAGGTTTTCAGCCTTTTAATCTTTTACTATTATTTTATTTGAATTTTATACTATTTTGTAAAATGTTTAGTTTTGATTTTTATTACACATGACACTTTACAATTGGGTCACATTAATTTCTTTTTATAGAAATACACAATAAATAACATATATAAAATTGGTAGTAATGTAAACTGATTAAAATTGTATAGGTACCAAACTAACATTTAGTTATAGAACAGGGACTAAAGAGGAATTAACCCAAACAATCCGCCCCATGACGTATTCCCTGATGAAAACATTGCCCAGCTATCCGACGTGTAAACAGGTGAAACTCCACGTGTATACTTCTTCTTCACAGTCAAAGAAACGCGATACGCACACGACAATTTGACCTTAATTTGAAGAAATCTTGAAATAATTGTTCTGCTTCTCTTCTACTGAGTTTCAAGCGAACTCCGTTCCAATTCTCGTCAGATTTCCCCAGTTTCTCTGGTTAATTTCCGATTTGAATTTGATCATATTATGGCCAGTCAATCCTCCAAGGGATCCATTTATGACTTCACTGTTAAGGTTGGTTTTGGGTATAATTTCAAATCTATGCTCCATAGATGAATTTTAATTTTTCTTTTATTTATTTTACTGGGTTTCTTTTTCTAAGATATGGGTTTTGTTTTTGTATTTTGGCTCTTCAGGATGCAAGAGGAAATGACATTAATTTAGGCAATTACAAGGGCAAGGTCCTGTTGATTGTCAATGTTGCATCTCAATGGTACCCTTATAACCATTTTTCAAACACAAGAGACCTTTTCATTAGATTGCATATTTAGATTATGAGGCTACGAAGATATTGAGTGGTGTCAGTGGTAGTGCCTAGCTAGCATATGGGATGCGAGTAAGAAAGATTAAGAAGAGATACTATTTTATGATCATCCAGACTATTTTTAAAAAAATTATGATGCTGCATTTTGGCTTTTTTTTTAACTGCTGGTGACTAGACAGTTTTTGATTTGCTACTTAAATGTTGATGCAGTGGCTTGACCAATTCCAACTACACTGAGTTGAGTAAATTGTATGAGAAATATAAAGATCAAGGTTTGTTTTAGGCTTTTACTATCTTTTTGTGTGTGTCTGAATGTATGTCATTTTTTACCTGGAATATTTACATGGAAAAAAGCTAATAACACTTTAGTTTTCAGTTTTATTATTTCTTAATATTCCAGGAATAGTAATTTGATCAATTGTTTTGTTATTTCTCTCCTAACTCTTTATGTTGTTTTACTTGGTACTATCTTGTTCAGGTTTTGAGATTCTTGCATTTCCATGTAACCAGTTTGGAGGTCAGGAGCCTGGAAACAATGAGCAAATCTTAGAGTTTGCTTGCACTCGCTTTAAAGCTGAATACCCCATATTTGATAAGGTATACCATTTGGCTATATGATGGAAGCACGGCTTGTTGTAAACTTTAATGTTGTTTCGCAACTTTGAGACCATAAACGACTTTCAAAGCTTTCACCCTAGGTTATACTTAATGTCAAGGATCAAAGATATATAAACAGACTCCACGGTTGAACTAAGAATAGGACAAACACTGTAGAGTCATCTCAAAATTGTACCCTTTGGGTTAATCAGTCTCAAAACTCTTTATTCTGCACGGTGATAATGGTGGTGTTGTGCAAGCCTTCTTGATGCTTTAGTGAAATTATGAATTCAATAGTATTTTAAGTTATATAGTATCAGATGCTCCTGTCTTCTCCATGAGATTGTAGGTTCTACAATTTTGTTGTTGGTTATAATAGAACCGAGTCACCGACGTTATCGTTGTGTTATTTCATTAAAGGTCGATGTGAACGGTGAGAAGGCTGCTCCCATATACAAATTCCTAAAGTCTAGCAAAGGTGGACTTTTCGGGGACAGCATCAAGTGGAATTTCTCCAAGTTCCTGGTTGATAAGGAGGGCAATGTCGTCGATCGTTATGCTCCCACTACTTCTCCTCTTAGCATTGAGGTAAGGCCTGTTAATGGCATTCTGTGACATTCCAACTTAAATTACAGAAAGATCATAAGATTTATATTCATTTATAAACTATCAACTTAGTCTGTGTGCTGGGTGTGAAAACTTCTAATGGTTGCTATTTCTATTTGCAGAAGGATATAAAGAAACTGTTGGCCTGAATCCTATGACTGGAGGAGGTTACCTGATCACTTCAGAGAGTCCATAAACTAGATACTTTTATGAATAAAAAGACTATTCTATCTCTGTTTATATTTCCTCATCTCCTAATGATGGGTTAGACTGCATTACAGTTTAGAAGTTGTCCCTTACCTTTTATAATGTTTTATTCACCGCGGAAAAGTACATCTGTCTTCATACTTGAATATATTTTGCTATTAGCAACTAAGTTATCAGGATTTCCAGCTTTACGATGATATTTATGTAGGATTCATGTGGATTTCAGTGTGATTTCGTAGGGGGCAAGAAAAAACAAAAAAAAAAAAACCAGAATCCCAGATTATGATATCAGACATTGGAAATAAAATTCCATGCACATTATTAAGGGTGAGTATTTGAATCACAACTAAGTGAGCAGTTAAGGGGTTGTTTGTTTACTTTAAAATGATTCAGAGGTTCTGTATGAATTAGTTCTGAATGTGACATGCTGTTTGAAAATTGCTCTGAATCATTTAGAATATACTTCTATGTTGAATCATTCAGAATGTACTTCTATGCTGAATCATTCAGAATGTACTTCTATGCTGAATCATTCAGAATGTACTTCTATACTGAATCATTCAGATTGTACTTCTATGCTGAATCATTCAGCGCTATTTTGCTGAATCAGACAGTACTGAATCATTCAGAGGTGCGAAACAAACGCGCTGAATGTTAAACGATTCAACGTTGAATGTTAAACGATTCAACGCTGAATGTTAAACGATTCAACGCTGAATGTTAAACGATTCAACGCTGAATGGTTCCATTAAGAGACAAACAAAAAGCCCCTAAGTATTCATCCATTCACCTAAAAAAAAACTGAACCTTTAAAAGGCAAACCCAAAAACCAGGCAGCATATATTTGTGTTAGTTTTACTCATTGAAAACTGCTTACAAATTTCTTTCTCAATACAGAAAATATATAGTGCTCCTCACCCGACGGTTATGTTGTTGTAACAATCCAGCAGTATTTCCCTCCACCTCATAACAGCCTACTGACTTTAATAAACCGTCATTCACTCTGCTTCATCTTGTGACAGCACCTAAATACATGCCTTCAAAGGCATTAACACCTTGTCTAAACAAAACAAAAGAGGAGTTAGCGATTTAGTGAGCCCATCTGTCTTTCGGTGTTGAGCTGGTATACAGTTGACATCAAGATTCCCGGCACCAACTCTCTCTCTCACAAAAATGAAAATCTAGCTCAACATGTTTCGAGCTGACGTGAAAAATAGAATTAACACTCATTTTTGTAGCACTTGTATTATCATTCCATACAACCAGACTATCGGCTAATAAAACCCCATATCTTTCAACAAGGCTTATAGCCAAACAATCTCAGAAACAACAAAATACCCAGAAATTGAGCGACAATCATCAGCATTACTTACCCAATTAGCATCAGCAAAAGCAACCAATTGAGTTGTATGAGGGAACACGGCGAAAAACCAACCCATAATCAAGAGTACCACTAAGATAACGTAGGATTCATTTTACCACTTGCCAATGATGCACACATGACTTATGCATATACTGTACAACTCGATTTACACTAAAAGAAATGTCAAGTCGAGTATAACACAAATAAAGAAGAGATCCAACTATGCTACGATCAACAGCGGAACTATCTCAAAATTTTTAAAAATTCATATTAATCTTCAATTTTTTTTAATATTCTCAATAAAACTCCTCCCATAATTTATACAAATTTTCATTAAGTCTCTCAAAATTTTAAAAATTTTAGTTATAACCCAATTATTTAAGAAAAATGTAAACTGAACCCTTCAAAATTTTTTAAAATTTCAAGTTGACCCCCGAATTCTATCACCAAGTTCCGTCACTGACTTTAATAGTTTTGAGCATCATCACAAACAAGTTTGGAAGAAGCCATCATTGGTGTCGAAACCGAATTTGCTCCCCTCATGTTCGTCTTATCAAGCAGCTCAAGCACGAACTTACGTTTTCGAAAGATGAGAGAGTCATTGTTACGTTCAACCTCAAGCTCTAAAAAATAACTCAGATCGCCAAGGTACTTTAAGGAAAACTTCTCGCCCAACAACCTAACAACATTCTAAAAGTCACCAACATCATGACAGGTGACAATTATGTCATCAAAATATTCCAACACATAAACCATACGACCATTGGTACGACGAATAAAGAGAGACACATCAGCTTGTGTGCCTTTAAAACCAGTTCCAATGAGAAACTCTCGAAGTTTAGCATACCAGCGACGAGGTGCTTGTTAAAGGCCATACAATACCTCCTCATGCAAATTTCCATTAAGGCGGGCATTATTAATAACTACTTGGCGAAGCATCCATCCATTCGTGACAGCCAACGAGAGAACAACATTGATTGTGGATGGTTTCACCACTGAGCTGAATGTATCCCGAAAATCCTGCCCTGGGACTTGAACAAAACCTTTTACAACTAGGTGAGCTTTGTACTGAGAACTAAATTAGGGTTAAAACGTGAAACAATTTTAGTTTAACCTTTTGCAATAGATGTAGTACAAAAGCTTCTAATCGAGCACTAAATTCCAAAATCATGTTTACAGTCTTAAGTACAAGGAAGGCAGACCACAAAATCAGGGTTCAAACGTGAAACAATTTTAGTTTAACAATGGATATGTATAATATAAGGGCAAGCAATATATCTCTTCCAAAGGAAAACACCAAAGGGTGTGTTAACTGTGAATGCACAAACAGCATAATTGTCTATAACAAATATGAACAAAAATAAAAATTTAAAGAAACATAGTTGTTTCCTACCAGAACATATTAGCAACATTCCAATTTTAACATCAAAATCTAGCAACATCTAACCTAAAGCAGTTAACTTTTGCTTCCTCCCAGTCCCTGGAGGCCGGCCTCGGTTTCTTTTTTTATCAGTAGGAGTGGCGAATGTTAAACCACTTTCAGTTGAGTGGTGGTTAGAAGCTGTTAAGCAGTTAATTGGTTAAGTATAACCGATTGTACAGCTGTGTATTACAGCCATTAAATAGCAGCTCAACTTGTGTAAATCAACATGATTCATGTGAATAGCAAATCTCTCCTTTTCTGCTTCTCTTGCTAAGTTTCTTCCATAGTTAACATGGTATCATTCGCCATTAGATCCTGAATAAGCTTTTGCTGTGCGCTGTTCTTTCTTATTCCTTGTCCTTCTGGTTCTAGGCTGCTTTCGAAGAAAAGTCATGGTGCAAGGCTTGATCATGACAGCTGAGGATGAGCAAATAACAGAAGCAAGCTCTCATACCTTTGCTAATAAAGAATCAATGTCTGCCTAACCGACTCAAACTATCTGCTTGGAAGCAACAAGTAATTCTCACAATCAGAGGGCTCGGACTCGAAGGCTTTCTTGATGATCCATGTGGTTCCAACAAAACTAACGGTTAATGATGCTGGTGAGCAGGTTGTTAATCCAGCTTTTCTACGGTATGTCAGCAAGATAGTTCCTTGGCTTCTTCCACGTTAGTACCAACATCTTCCTCAATGGTTGGTGTGAATCTACGGCTGCTGTCTGGAATGCCATCACCAGACTGTATTCGAAGTTATCCACCACAAAAATAAGGCCCTGCATTGTCGTCTTAGATCAATGAGAAGGCACTCAATCTATGAGACTACACCATGTCCATTAAAGAATTGTGACTCTTAGCCACATGTGGCAATCCTATCTCAGACATTGATCACATCGCCACCATCCTTATGGTCTTCCAGCCGAGTATGAGCCAACAGTGGCTGCGTTACTGCGAGCAGAGAATCATTGTTCTCGACAGTGTGGTATTGGTTCTCATTGATGCTGAGTCCGCCTTGATGACTCCTCAAGATTCCCAATAGGGGTCAATTTCACACGCTACAACACCAGTCAGAACTCGGACTCTCAACAATACAAGAATCGTGGTCTGCAAAGTCTAACAATACTGTAGTAACAAGTATAAGGGGAGACCCAAACAGCAATGTCAACTATGTGGAAAGTTAGGTCATCTAGTTGACAGGTGCTGGCACAGGTTTGACCAGAACTTCAAAGGTGTAACTGCTCAGCAAGTTCCTCGTCTAGTGCCATGCAGGCGAACGTGTGCTCATGTTTTCCTCATGCAACCGACTGTCATTACAGTCCTTTTATAAACACCAATACAGAAGATGAAGATTCACTGACACCGAGCCACATGACAATGCACAAGTCAATGCATTAATGGCCAGTGGTCCTCTGAACCATGCTAAATGGTTTCCTGATTCAGGAGCCACTCACCATGTAACTGCACTACTTTTGACTCTCGAGCAAAAACCCTACACGGCATGGTAAGGTGCATCTAGATGGTTCCACTATTCAATTGCACACATTGGTTCAAATATTTAAAACTGACTCTAGGATCTCTTGCTTGATCACATGCATGTTCCAAACATTAATAAAAATCTCTTGTCAGTTTCGAGATTCACTAGCTTCATTTTCTTTGAGTTTCAAAAATACTTGTTATGTTAAGGATGAGAGTACAGGAGTCGTGCTGGTAGAAGGGAAGCTTGATGGAGGACTGTACAGCTTGACTGTCAAACCATGCATGATACAGCAACACTAAATAACACTGTTGCAAAAAGTGCCAACGAATACTGGTTGTGGCACAAAAGATTGGGGCATCCAGCAACTGAAAGTGGTTTAACAGCGAATTCACCCTTAACTCAGGGTGGACAGCCATACGAAAATTTTATGTTATTAATGCTTTTGTGTCCACCCTAAATAATTTCCGGATCTGCCAACGATGAGAAGCATATGATCCTGATGAAATCTTAGGCTTGTCAGACATAGGCAAAGCCCAACGAAACCTGGCCATGAGGCGCATATTTGCGCGGGCTCCTCTCCTTTTCTCTTCCCGGTGCATCTCAGAGGAGGCATTCGTGTTAATGCCATGAGGGAAACTGATATTATTAATCTTCCTGTAAAGTTTGATCCGACATCTGACTGTAGCTGAACCTGAGAGTTAGATAAAGGCTGGAGCCTAGGCTGAGAATGAGATGCTGATACCAGTGTGTGTTACTGACCATAACTAAACCCACCAAACCCTCCATGATAGAATAAGGAGTTGACCGCCAGATCAAGCCATAGCTTCTCTTCCATTCATGCATTACATCTAAGATACTGGATTTAAAAAAATTGGTGTGGTCAAAAGCATCCTTTACTTGTGGAATCCTT